GCCGATCCAAATTCGAAGAATCCAGAATGAAGGCACACATGACGGTTAACTTCGCGGCTCCAAAGGTCACCATTTGTACCATGCCCAGCACCACTCGGTATATCGCTAGAGAAATCGCTGGGAGGCCGCGCCATATCCTCATAGTTTGCAGTGAAACTACCCCGTAGTATGTCAAACAACTTCCAAATATCCCGTCTGGACAGAAGCACTGGTAATGCACATTGGCTCCGATCGTTGCGGAACTTGCTTGCAGGCCGTGCTTTCCAATGAGCATATCCAAGGGACTTTAGACCGAATCCATCCTTGATACGCTGGCAATGTGTGTTTTATAGCGGAAACACTCGAGATCTGCCTGTAAGAGTTCAATGTGTTTCGACAAATCAGACGAGGATCGAATATATCGTCAACCGCCGCAACGTGGCCTGGAAACTACGTCACTAGACGATTGAACGTTTTTGGTGCAGTACACAGCCTCTGTTTGTAACCATCCAACCAGGGTACATTGCTGGCGATACACACGAAAGAAAATGAGTCTCATGAGTAGTTGATGATAGCCATCAACAGGTGAGAAGCACATAATAAAGTACACCCGTCCATTCTACCCCGAATCACATCATTTGCAGAGATCAGCATATGCGCCTAAATTGTGGCTGCATTGAGTCAAAAATAAGCATGAACAATTTGTCACTTGTCGCTATCCTTTCCGACTGCCAAAATCAGCACCAAGTATAGCAAAGAAACACCTTCTTGTGATCTGTACGGAAGAAAGCGTCAATGAAGTTACATTGGCTTTCATTGAGGCCATTAGGCGATAATTGGTTCCGGGAACCAAGTCAATTTAATGACGCACTCACCGATCGCGAAGCAAACGAGTGGTGAGTCTCCTGTCACCACGGAGCTAATTCTCCAATGATAAAACTCGTAGAATTCTTGAGAACAAGCCTCACACTGCTTCGCACTCAATGTTCTCACGACGAAGTACCAATAATTCAGTATGGACTTATCTTACTAACTACACTATTTGTAGTTTCACTGGCTTAAAATTTATGCAAACCTCACTTCGGAGTAGCTCATAAGCATAAAAACAGCTTCTGTTGCAGATAAGGAGGAAAGAGATACATACACAGGTCACTGATTCTTGCGTGAATATTATTTTTGCTTTTGACCCGTGCTTCAGACCTTGGGCATTTCATATGGTAGTGCTGACTCAGCAGAACCATTACATCGTGAGAAGACTTAGAGAGGAGCTTTTCTACTTTCGCCTTACAGTCGCTTCTCTCTACCAGCGTGGCAAAGGATACCGGGACAAATGGTCGCTTTTACACTTCACCTATTCTGGCACCGGACATAGCTATCCGTAAAAGTTCTGCCAGGGATACTCTCGGGGAATCGCAACGCACCGTAACTCATTTCTTGATCTATCTTTAGACCGCGATTCTTGATCGCTACTGCATGTCTCATCTAGAGACTGCGGGTCACAGCTGCCTCTATATTTCAAGCTCCGCATCGGACACTTAGCAACACCCTTGCCTTTCATTTTTGAGGATCCCAAAACCTGCACGAACATCTCATAATTTTATAACCAAATCAAAAACGTTTCTGGTTATATCCAGCGGTGAGTTAATGACGCGCTTAAGCACCACAAGGAAAGCGACAAGCGCGGCATCACATGTTTTCGACTACTAGCAGACTCATAGATCGTGACATTCAAGTCGTGCAATACCTAGGATGAGCTCACCTGTCTAAATCAGGTCTAGGTCAAGTCAACGTTCCTCGCTTTCGAAGCTTTCGAGATTGACAGCAAGGTTTTGCATGAGCTGAGATGCACTCTCTTCGCAAGGCGCAAGAACGCCTTATCCACAATTGGGGTATAGTGTTCCCGCGCGAAGTCGATACTTTTGTCGTTCGTACTTGCTTAAAACTCCTGTTTCAATCAGGACTTCCCATTGAAAGAAGATGACACTAACAAGCAACGGCCGTGGGCTTTAAGTCTTAATTATTGTGTACAGAGTAGCTCCTTTAGGGCTAGATTCCACTGACCTCGACATTCATGGGATATATTACAAATTCCTTGACCACCCTGAGTCAACTGAGACTCGATCATTTTTTCTTGGCTGGCTCGTTGGACATCCCTGAATGGGCCTTCGAACCTTTTTAACGAGAAGTAATGGGGCATGCCGAACGCAGCTTATGTAATACTAGCGAGAACCACGGAGCTTCTCAGCAGCTAGAAATTGCTTTGTTTTTCTCAGTGGGGCCATGGTCCATCGCCTCTGACGCTCTTGTACATTTTCTTCCTCCTGAACTTCAACCGGCACTCACGGCACGGTACTCGACCTTCAACTGACATCATCACTCACCGTCTTCTTAAACAAACGCAAACATCGGTGCGAGATACACCTGTTCGGGATCCTTTTTATATACGATAAGTGCTATTGCCTCCAACGAGGATTTGCTGCCATCGCGACAATATAAGCTTTCGCTTTGTGGACACAGTCTACCAGCTTCCGCCTTTCTTGATGCAAGAAGTTTATAGCTCCACTGCTACGTCTTATTAAGTGGTGCAGGCACCCACGACATGTGCTGCTCTATCACTTGGCATGTCGGTAATGCCTTATAAATGTACCGCATGTTGGCGTTCATTCTCGCACGCGAACTTCTAGCTGACAGACTACCAGAGTGACGCGCTGTTGCTTTTCAAAGCTTACCCGAATTCATGGCCATTATAGCCACTTTCATACACAAAGAGTGATTCGTTTTCTCCTCTCTCAAGGAACTGGATGACCAACAGAAGCTCTTTCACGGTGAGTGTCATTCGTGGCTCTACATGGACCGTTGATGGAGGTATCTCCTGCACATACCCAAAGTTAATGAGCACCTCCAAGAGAAAACTTGTTGCTTCTGGCCGTCGGGCCGCCATTACCCTAATGCCGTCGAGGATAATCATAACTATGAGCTTATCATGCTTGTACGGCCGTCTCGAGGACAGGTAGTTGGGCAACTCGTGCTTTATTTTTAATCTAAGAGGATTGGTCGTCGAAACGACGATTAAGTGCTACCACAGCAGTTATGTCGTGCATCTTACACAGGAGAAGCGTTGACCCGTTTGATTCGCATGATTAAAGCATTTAATTTGTGTGTCGGCGCCTCGGTTCTGCTCCATCAAGGAGCAGAACCGAAATTTTGTCAAGTGATAATTCACAAAAGCAAAAAAATACTTAGTCACTTGACAAAATTTGACATAATACTTGATATACCTGATTCACTATATTAGATTATGAAAACGTAAATACCGCATGATGTGAAGCTCATCAACATCCCTTGGTAGCTCTGGGCTTTGCAAAAAAAGATATATGTGCTGACAAATACACATAACTAGATGCAAAGTACTCTTCTGTTCATAGGCGTGCTAGTGTATGATCACCTTATGGTCTGGCAAGAACAACTGTGAACCGCCTCTACAATTCCGTTAGCACATACCTTTAGTATGAAATGCTTTATCCTACGCGAACTTTCTAATAGACCATATGCATTCCGAGAATTTGGAGTGGCTGGCGCCTATGACAGAGCAAAACTTAAAGACGCTCGATAATATATGAAAAGCGTTGGCCAAATTCTCACCTAGGCGAGCTTCGGTCCTTCAACGTTTTCATGTCAGATACGGAGGCAGCTCTACACTTCGTTGCTGCTTCTCTCAGCGCATCTACCAGTTTCTTCTGGCTATGTGCATTCAATTGTTGTGTCTTTCGATTGTTTCGACCATATTGCGGGATAGTTGTTTACACTATGACGAAAGCTTTAAAATCTGTTGGTCATCGAGCTTAATTGCTGACCCTTTGTATCAGGTTTGGTAAAATTTGATGTGTAGCTTTTGCTTTCCTACTCTCAGCACATCTATCTCATGATTACACTGAATGCATTGGACAGACGCGACTGACGTTCTATGATTACTAGCGTATCAAGGGCAAGCATTCGGATGCGGAGCCAAATGACCACATCCATGCAATTAAGAAAACATATGGGAGGTCTAAAAATTTAGAAGGTTAAGATAGCACTACAATACCTATTTTGCATGTACTCGTTAGCCCTAGTAACTTGAACGAATGTCTTCTGACGTAAGTTCTTGGCAGTGAGAAAACTTAGCCTTCAATGCTGATACAGTGCTTTACTGGCTAGAGGAAGTCTGCTCATTTGCAACTGTTGTGTCTTACCTGCATATGCTGAATAGATCTAAATCGATCTGAAAGGTCTACAGAGGTACTTGATTGTTCTAAAAACGAGAGTGCGCTATTATTCTAAGTGAGTCTATATAATAGAGCCAAGTTATCATCATTTGTTTAATCAGAGCTACTAAAAATGACAGACAGTCGTGATGTCTTCAAATCTGACTTATGTTGACAGAAAAAGCAAAACGAGTTCGCGATACGACTTTCTCATACGATTACCGCGCTGATTGCGATCTTTCCTTGTTATTGTATCAAATGCATTGTTGAGACAGTTCACATAACTGCAGCAGTTGTTCAGGGTTCCATCTTAATGATGTATGCTTCGCGTTGGGATGCAGATGGTGAGAAACTCTTTTGATGAACTCTATGTATTTAATTACTGCACGTTTCCACATGTTATACACTCAAATAGTAAAATTGATGTGCTCAATCGAGCAAACTTCTGTTCTGTTTCATATGTGGCTTCATAACATGCGATGCAGAGAGTAGTGGGGATCGGTCTCATAAGGACCTCCGCATGTAATTCGATTAACATCTTTAGTGTATTATATCAAGTGATCAGACAAATTAGATGTGATACGTAGACGCTTTTTTTCTTTGAAATCTGTATGATGGGCAATGGATTGCGTTTTGCTGGCTTTAGCTTCTTTAATTCATCCGAATATTGATGTTGATAAACGGATGTTAATGTATACATAACATGACGTACTAAAGTGCACACAATCGTTCTCCTGATGCCTATCCCATTCTCATTCTCAATCTAGTTGTAAAGTGATGATTACCCAGCCAAGATTTACACGATTTCGCTTCCATCTCGTCTTGCAGATTGGTATCGCTTTACTGACTTGTTCCAGTACTACAATGAAGGCGGCACCAACACTCAATTCAACGAATTTTCACGACCAGAATATTCGAATGGTACCCGGAGGGACTTTGGTGAACACAACTAGTCAACTTAGTGAAGAGAGAGGTTTGATGTCTGAACTTACATCCATAGGGGAAAAGTTGCTGCCGGGGATTTTCACAGAGAAAAAGGTCAAAGCTGCTGAAAGTCATTTTGACAGCTACGACTTTACCCAGCGAGACTCAAATTTCTTTTTGCTCCCGAGATTCACGGAATTAGCACACACAGTTCGCAAAATGTTCAAGAATTCTGACGTGGGTTATCGGGTATTGTACACGAAGTTTGCAAGCGTATATGACGCTAGGAAGCTAGCGAAACTCATTCAAGAGTCAAAGGACAGCAGCGAGATCGCCAGAAAGTTTGAGAGCATCCAGATGGCCGAGTGAAAGGGCAAAACACCCGAAGAAGTACTTTCGCTTTTGGAACTGGACAAACCGGATATCGACTGGAACAATCCATTGTTTGATTATTTCATCACCTTCGTTTCCAGAACGAAGAGGAAGAAGAACCCGTATCATGTGTTGCTGAACACGTTGGTGCAATGAAAGAATAGTCGTCAGCTCGATTGCAAATGTATTACCACTGGAAGTTGATCAGCTACCATCAGTCGCTAGAATGATGGTGCAAACACTGAAGGAAAAGTGGTCTCACCTCAGTTCATCAGAAATTTTTACGAAAGTTTTTCCGATGAGCGATCGGAGCAACATTCTTATGTCTCCTTCTGTCAGGATATGGATTGAACTCGTCGGATTGGGTCCAAAAGGGTGGCAATCGGAGTTGCTGAAGGGGATGCTGAGATACAGAGACAGTACTCACTTAGTTGTCGGTGACATTATTGAAGCAAGTGATAGTGGTAACATCTTGAGCAATTTCGCTGATCAGGTGAAGCGGGAACTGCTTTCGCGATGGAGAGATCGTGGGCTCAGCGATGATGAAGCACTTGAATTTTGTGGCATCAGAAATCTTAAGGGAGAAAAGCTTCTCGAAAAGAGGCTTTATCTTGAAATGTGGATTGAACATATGTCCTTCAGCCATGAGTCGAATTCAGTAAAGATGTTATATTCGTTTCTGACAAAGCATTTGAATCGAGATGAACTACTTCGACTGCTTTTTATGAAAAGGAAACCCTCTAGCGCATCAGTTCGTCTTTCTCAAGTTGAAGATATGGTGATCGAAAACATAAAAGACTCCGCAAAAAGTGTTCTCGATCTTGTCACTCACAACGCCGATGACAATAACTCCGAGAAAGCGATCTCGTTTTGGTTACGATTCGTGCAAAAGAAAGACGAGGGACCAGGGTTTGTGATAGACACGGTTCTCGACATGTATGACGTAGAATCTCAAGTCATCTTGAGACAGCATATAAACAACGCCTTACAAAGATTTGGTGTACAGCTTGACGGTCGCACAAACAACGCGTTCAACAAAGTTTCGGAATGGCTTGAATATCAGGATAATTAAGCTAATGTATTAGACATCGAAATGACAAACATTACGCTCTGATTGTACATAGTCGATTTTCTAGATATTAGCTATTCCTTTATAGTGTCGGGCGAGTAATCGCCGGTGTCGCTTTAACAGCGGACCGGTCTTGGAGATGATGCTAGGATTTTCACTATTTTATCCGTTTTGACGAAACGGTTCCTGGTCCGATACCCATAGGAACCAAACAAATTTGTCTTGTACGTAATCCTATTACAAATGCAAGATTGTTCTACTCAGCTTCATTCTTTCTATAACATGTTTACTACTCGTAACTTGATGATACAATTTCATAAGCTCACATTGTAAAAATATCGAGATCTAAGTCTCCTGTTCTACAACTGCCATTTTTGCAAACTTTGATGCTTCATTAGCGACACAATGTGCACCAGAGCTGACGAATCTACGCGGAATTCTTCATAAATGAGACATTTGTTGGACATTGTCTCCTGCTCTCCAATGAACGGTGTGAGTTACACAAGATGGTGTGTTCACACAATGGTATGTCACACTTAAACAAGAAGGCTGGACTGTACATTTCAATAGGTTTTACTATACAATTAGGAGAACCTATAGGTATAAAAGTAGGCGGTTTTGCGGCAAATCAAACCGAGAAAATGCAGTTCACGTTTTGAAAGAAAGAGTTATTTAGCCTTGGGTGAAGATTGTAATTATTCTTGGAGTGGATAGCGATCCGCTACACTCGTACTGGCTCTAAGTATAGAACGAAGGCCACCGACCTTAGATCAAGCTTTCTTTAAGCGAAAGAGCCACGGCAGCCCCGCTGCACCATTAGTAATCAACTCAACCTTTAACCTCAAAAAAATATAGAGGGAGCTCCACTTTATATGTCAAGAGGTATGATGCACCGTTCATCCTCATTAGTACCAGCGTAATGTGTACAAACTCCATCATACAGCATGCCGTCAAGGTGTGAACCATATAAAATAGGCAAATTTGTGTTTGTTGGCAAAATTTAAAGTGAATATATTTTAGGCTCTTAGTCCGCTGTGCTACCTATAAGCCTGTCCAGAATGTCTAACCAAATATTCTTATGGATATCTTATTGTACCTTATATGTTTCCGTTTGCAATTCACTGGATACATCACTTGATATCTTCCTGAATACTTGGCTGGTGTACAAAACCACAGCTTGTGCGCTCCCTGGTAAAGCGGTGACCACTGGCTAATAACTGCCGGTCGAGACATATGCTCGAGGTGCTGATTGGCAACATTCCCACTCAACTCGACTTGGCGTGATGGCATGATACCTAGCTTGTAAAGAGTTTTGAACTGCACTGCGGGGATTGACTTTTGTCATCCAATTTGCTTTCTTATCCTTTGTCGGGCAGTACTGCAATATAATTTTGCCCGTTTCGGCCTTCTCGTGCACAAGTGATAGCGGATGTTAATGGGCTTGGTGCTCTTGTGATACTTGAAATTTTGGTCTGCGCAATGGAATCTTAATTGTAGTCAAAGGCCTTGACATGATCGTCGTCCATCATTTCGCCGAGATCGCACAGGAGTATATCGATTCTTGAACAGCTTCCGCAGCGCCATGTATTCTGCTTCAGTCGATGATAGCAACACGTGCCTTGTTACTTGCGTATCTCACCGATGCATCCATTGTTTATTATAAACGCGTATCCCTTGTACTCCGTCGAGTCTTTACACCCCCAGCCCAATTAACAATAGAGTAGCATAATAAATTTTCTTTAGCTCCTTTTTGAATCGTGATCCCGTGCGTCCTTGTGCCTTGAATGCACGCGCTATAGTGCTTGCCAGTGTGTAGGACATAGGACCGCCGCTAGCTGGATGAGGACTCTAACTCCAGCAGCGAGATTCGGCGAGTGCCAACCATGAAGTACATCAGGCAACCAACACGGTACCGTTGATATGGTATCATCGTGCTAGAAATCCCCTTCAAACATGGCCATGGGCAGCCTGAGTCTCCTAGTGCATAATAGTCACATAGCTCCCACTGGTAAATTGATACCAGGTTTATGCCATGGCCATATTTTTCTGTAAGAATCGTAGATAAACCACCTGGCCAAGCCGAAGGTGCCAGAAATACTCTGTGGTGTCCCCATGGCACTCCAACGAACTTGTCACATTAGCCTCGTTCACAAAGATTGGCTTCATACACAGCTTGAACAATCCTTTGCCATCTCGCACCCCAAGCTTCCAACGAGCGCTTCTGCTTTGACAAAACACCCATCCCTGGGCCAACGAAAAACAAGTTACGAGAAAGCTTTGGGGTATGCCAAACGGATGCTAACACATCCTGCTTCCTTCGACGTGATGCTGTCATCGACATACCAATATCAAGCGTTTTCACCACTTGTACCACGCCATCGTCTGCAAGATGTGCGTTGAGCAAGAAAATCGTCTTGTAGCTCTTCATGTACGCTTTCGAGTACGTCATGTGCTGTGTTGCACCTGAGACGACCAGCCACACGCAGCTCGACTTATCATTACACTCCACACTTCCAATTGAGAATAGATAGTCGCCAAAATAAGCCCTACTCTGCGCAACATTAGCACGCTGCGGTCGCATTTTTGCGAATTCGCACAGGACATTTGGCGATCCAATGCCCATGTTCGCCGCAGTGACGAGTGCTGTTGGCCTTTGCTGCACCTATCGCTCTTTACGATTCCCGTTGTCCGACGTCATAAATACTTGGCCTTGTCCGTGCGCGGCTCCTTGCCGCCGATTTGCTTATTACGCTTCAACTCTTCCTTTAATATCCGAATTGTCACGAGGTCCCAAGACAGTGGGTCGACTCGTGTACCAATGCCGTGATCAGAAATATGTATGAATCGCGAGAAGCAAAATCACCAGATCGTCCTCACTGACCGGAGCGCCTACTGCGTCGAGCTGCTTTGCTTATTCTTGTTGATCTGCTCCAGCACATCCTCACCCTCCTTTATTTTGGCCGTAAGGAAGCGACGACGAAGGAAGAGCCTGTTTGCTAGGCTCTTCTCCTCGGAGTGTCCTTCTGGCCGCGACAATGCATCATGCGCGCCACTTTCCGAATGAGCTAACAGCAGCTGTGAGTCTTCATCGCAAGATAGACGATCGCTATCGCCTTGCAATACTTGCGCTTGATGTTACCTGATCCAGAGCTGTGGTCAGGAGCTCAAGCTTCATCTCCCGTTCACCATTATCCACAAATCGCGCTCCTCCAACACCATCTGCACCCTGAACTTCCACGTATCGAAGTTCGTTCCGTCGAACTTGTTGGTGTAATTGGTGATGAAGGTTTCCATTGCGAGCGCGCAGTTGAAATCGGAGTCAGAGAAGGCGGAGCTGTGGCTGATAAACTATCGAAGAGGTAAGCTTTGTTTGTTGGCAAAATACAAAGTGAATGGATCTAAGGTTCTTAATTCGTTGTGCTAACCCTAAGCCTGTCTAGAATATCGTACCAAATATTTTACTGGATTAACATTATTAGATTTCAGTAACTTTTATGTGCTAATTGAGCTCTTCACTGGATGATTTACTTAATTTTTCCATTGAAAACCTTTTATATGCGATCGGCCTGTCCAAACTGATAATATCGGCGACTACTAAATAGTATCCGCCGGTCGAGACATACACTCGAGTTGCTTATATGCATCAGACCACACAGAGGCTGATACTTATTTAACCAAGATATTGCACGAAAGTGAAAGCGCAATGAGCAACAACCGCGCATACTGCTTATATTTTTCACTTGCACCTTGCTGTGAAGGTTTCTGCAAGCCTGATCCGCATTGAGAGCCCCCTCCATCGCGTACCCACATGGCTCAGCGAGCTGCTGGAGTGGCGTAGCTATATACGCCGGCGATCTTGAAGCTATTCTCCGATCATGAAGGCGCATTGACTTTCCACGTCCTTCCTTGTAGCTTTTGTCATCTATTAGATACGTATGGCAGAGTCGCTCAATGGAAAGGAGGGAAATAAGAAACCGCTTACGGCTCCACTCGTATGCATGAGTTGTGTACTCCTTGCCCATTCCCTAAAGGAGGAAATGCCACGACCTCCTCGCGGCAAATTCCAGCTCATTATCAACATACGAATGTTGGGTATCAGTTAATAAACACTAAATGATTTACTGTAACGACGGATATCACAGAAGAGGTGAAAAAATGGGTGGGACACACGGATGCTCACAACTTAGTAAGCGGCAGAAATCGAAAATGGGCACGCAAAATCGCACGATAGGAAAATACAGAAGAGTAAGTAGTTTAGCAATGCGAAGATAAGACATTTTTGCTAGTCTTCCTCGGTACTCGTCTAAAACGATCAAGTCCATTTCGCAGGTTGACTACCACACAGAGTGTTAAGGTCCAAGTTCGTGTCAGCGGTAGGTCAGCAAGCGGTTTTGCTGATCGGAACGAAACGAATAAATATTTTGCTTGATGCTAGCGGTATCGGTGCCGAACCAATGTCTCAGTAATAGTTTTATGTGCCGTCGACAAATTCTCGCTGTGACTCATCCGGTGTGCAGACAATAAATATTTAATTCTTAAAAGTTCCAGGCGGATATTGCAGAGGAGCGAGTAGAGTGGTTGGAATGCACACGGAAGCTCACAAATAACCAAGTCAGATAAATAGCATGATGAGAAGCACGACCGGAGGGTAGAAGAGAGGATATTGTTTGATTAAAACGAGGGGCAAGTAGCATGACTGATTGCGCCCTGGTATTTGCATTCCAACAATCGAGTTTACGTAAAATGCTCGGACCTGTCCATTATGGCAAATTGATGATCACATTGCATGCTATACAATCAAGACACAGGTGATAGCGGCACTATGCTACGGGGTTATGTGCACTTTGCACAAAGAAATCTTTGACTTTTGGAGTCCGCGTTAGCATACGCAACGAGGTCAGAAAATCTTTGACTTTCGGAGGTTGCTTTCGTGCGCTTTTCTGCTTCTACAGATAACCGAACTGTGAGCCGCTAAAAATTTAATCCTTTTAACCAATATTTCATGATGATGAATATTCAAAATTACACCAAGTGAGCCACCAAATTAATAATGTAGACTCTTGTGTGAAATTTTTATATTGTGCGATGTGCACAGCAAATGCAACGGGGAGCCCGTGTACTATGCGTAACCTGTGACTAACAGCCCATGTGTGCCACATAATCCATCTTTCGTGATGACCTGAGCCATGCTGAAGAAGAGAGAGAGACCTTCTAGCTGCTGAGCAGTCCTGCGGTAACCGCATATGTTTCATTCGCGGTAACACAACCATCTGCACCTTGCGTGCCACTTCGCACTTGGCAGAGAGGTACGAAGGGTCGGGCTTCCATTCCCCCATCTCCTCCATACACCTGACTGCTTTACATTATACTTCAAAATTGTATTAAATGGTATTTTACTCTCGCTATAAATGGAGGGTGTAGATGCACCATATTACGGTATGTATCTCATAACACAGTTACTGTCAATTTTCGCGCAGATTTATTTAAACTTTGAAATTCTCCTCACAAATGATACGATGAGCTTTCTTTCATCTTAAACGGGCTGATCAATACGGTCCCTATGTGAATAGTAAATTCTGATAGCCCTGTAAACTAATCAAATAGGCTACATACTCGAAACCTTCATAGATAAAACGAATGCAAGCTTAAAGTCAAACTTTCGGAACATTTACTATAGCTGTTCGTATGCGTCTGAGATCGCTCTTTGCTCTAGCGTCACTGTTTATTATTTTTTGTCAAATTATAGCGACATATCTGCTTATTACACAACCGAGCGTTGGATTTACAGAGCTGTAGAACGTTTTTTTGTTGCCCACGATATTTTTCATGCAAAAAAGGTTTATGCTCTCTCGAGCAACGGTCAGTTGTTTCGACCCTCCGTTAGCTAACTCTTTTGTCCACCATTTGTTTAATTATACTCTTACTCTATTTCAAGATATCTAACCATGCTACAAAGAAAAGAGATATGTATATCAATGAGAAGTGTCCTCATAAAAACACTAAACGAGTGAGTATCTTGCAACTGCACAATCTGACCCTCCTTTACTAGATCCATACGTTTTGCACTTCTTCTGATTAACATATACTTAAGAACTAAACAGAAGAATGAGTGTCTAATCTCTCTGGCCTAAAAACCCGCAGATGATCTCGTCGATATACTCGCCGTAGATCGTGCTAGAAGGTGTCGGCTTCAACGGCAAGAGCAATGAAGTCATTCTACAATTTACCTTCATTGACGCATACCTCCAAACATTATGGTCTCCTCGACAATCGTGAGCGCTTTAGCTCTTATCTCGAGCTATTCGCTGGTCGAAGCCCAAAAACTGTTATGCCACTTCCATTTGATGGCCGTGCGCAAGACCTGACCGTTGAAACGATCACTGAGAAGTACGCAACGCATATTTTCACCATGCGAAACGACTCTTCATTAGCGGTCAAAGATTACGTGACAATTGACCAAAAGGGACGTCAACCTGCGTACAATGGTGACACGGGCGTCATAAATATTGGAGTGGACAAAAATGCAATCTTCAAAGCACAAATGAACTTCCGTCGCTCGGAATTAGTACAATTTGTCGCGGCTAATACGACGGGTACAACGTTCTTCCGCACCAGCTTTATGAAGAAAGAAGCGTTTTTAAACCCGTACCAATGGCAGCTCGTTTTCGACGAAATGCACTTTTTTGAGATGCGTGTGGATGCGTCAGTCTCTCCACCAAAGCTCATCTATTTGTGCGGTGGCACTTGGGAGCCAAAGTGGAGCACCACGTTTGTACCCGGTACGTGGTATAACTTTGGCATCGCTCTATCGCCTGGGTCGTCGGGCAAGGGCCATGAAGTTAAATTTTACGTGAGCAAGGGTAAGAGACAGCTCAAACTCAAGAGAACCCATACTTTTGACAAAGACCTCCCGGAAGACTTTGAATTCCACTTTGGTATGTTGACTTTGTCGGATGACGGTAGCGAGCCAAAGATGAACCCAAAAAAGGACATTGTGTCCTACAACGGTGTGACTGTTACGGCTGACGTTCCGGCTGTGGCCGGGGGTCTTTCTTGTTCGTAAGCGCGAATATTTGATGAGCTTGAGCTAATGGTAAGTCCTCAACGAGTTCCGTTTTCATATCTCTGTCCATCTACTTTAAGTTACTTCCGCTTTGTCAAAGCATTACTCGTTTTCAATAAATGTTTACTTTTCAATGCATATCTTTGGAACCTTCGTTAAAAACGTTTGAACTGTAAACCAAGTGCCTTGTGATCTGAATCATGACGGCGACTGGAGCGAAGGCAATGTTGTGGTCAACATGAAATTGCTTTAAGTACATGAGAAATGAGAAATCTCGCCTCAAAGACATCTCTTCCGTTGCAATTACCAGCATGAAACAGAGTTGATCCAGCTACTACCTTGGCGATAAAGACGCCTTACTAACAACTAGTGACCTTTGCTTTAAATCGATATGTGCCTTCTTCACTTCGTGACTCTGCTTTCTCTCTACCTTCTTTTGGCGTTTCAGACAAAAGTCGTCAATGCTGACTACTGATGAGCTAATGATAATGTTCATGGCATCGATCAGATTCCATTTTCATGGCTTTCGGATAAACTTCATGTATTTCTTGACAGTGAATTTTAATGAGTTAATTAGATGGGTCTTGTCATTCAAGAACATTGTAGCAGTCCAACGCGCTGCACAATGATACAATAGCGGTTGGGAATTGTTAAGTCTTACAGTCCAGTTTTTACCTGACCTTTCTATTCTAGAAAACGACACTTTAATCAATTCAAAAATGACAAAGCCAGCTAAAAGAACAAAACATTTATTTAATCAGATCAAGATCCATGACCCTGTCCGAAAAATCAACATCGATAGAGAGCTAAAGCAAAAACAATGTGAGCCATAACTTGAACAAGTGCTCGATCTTCTAAGACTCAATTAAGTCTCATGCTAGTGATGAAGTCTAGCGTGGGCACATAAGGTTTTCAATTCTGTTGGAAATTGACATTGAGTGAAGTGGCGGTTGAAATCTCAGGCGTGACAGAAACACCATTGAACATCAAGGTATCAGGGTCCTTGTTCATTTTGGGTGCAGACTTGTCGTCACTCAATGTCAACAGTCCGATGTGAAACTCGAAATCACTGGGGTAAGGCTTTTCAGCGGTCTCTTTTGTTTTCAGAACAAGTTCTTCATTGCCCTCGCTCTCGTAGAATTCAATCTTGACGCTTTGTGGCGTTTCACCGGCAGAGACAGCAATGCCGAAGTTGTACCACGTACCCGGCTTAAACGTTGTCTCCCATTTCGGGTCCCAAGTTCCACCACACAAGAAAATGAGCTTTGCCGGAGTGACTGATGCATCCACTCGAAGCTCAATAACATGCAATTCGTCAAAAACAAGCTGCCAGGCGTACGGGTTCAAAAATGCTTCTTTTTTCATAAAGCTCGTACGAAAGAACGTGACACCTTTTGGATTCGAGGCAACAAATTGCACTAGTTCTGTGCGACGAAAGTCATGTTGATCTTTAAACTGTGCTTTTCCGTCCACTGAAATCGATATGACCGCCGAGTCACCATTGTACGCAGGTTCTCGAGCCTTTTGTTCAATCGAGATGTAATCTTCGACCGTTAGTTTTGAATCATTACGCATTGTGAGGATGTGAGTCAGGTACTTCTTTGTGATTGTTTTGACGTCGAGTCCTTCTCCACGACCGTCCCAAGGAAGCGGCATAACGGTTTTCTGGGCATGGGCCACAGTATAAGACGATGCGAGAGCCACGGCACCAAAGATTGCAGAAAGAAAAACCATCGTAATGTGGAAGAGAAACTGCTATGCGTTGCTGTGAAAATTGTTTTATGACCTGTTCTCGAGACCAAACAGCATCGCTGGTTCATTTTACTAGGCAAAAGCAGGGCGAGTCGATAGTTCTGACATGCAAACTCTAAACACAAAAATGGAACAGCCAATGAGCCTTTCCATCGACATAGAACAGGCTCATTGTCTTACGTATAAACAATTAATCAGGACCTTGTTGCTAAAACAAATACTCAACGGGTTGGGCCGTATGTTCGTTTGTTACTTCCTTTTCGTGTTGTTGTGAGAATGTCAATTGTCGTTAAACATTACGCAATGTGATCGTTGTCCGTAAAGTGTTAATTCATTCGTGCTGTTGAGTCTTGATATCAGTCTTTTTCTGAACCTATCCACATTATCCTTTGTACATTGTAAAGTCTTCCCGTAAGAAAAAAAAATACACACGCCATAAATTGACAGCATCTGAGCCACAAATTTATTTGAAGATAAGACATCCAGACATTACTCTA